TACTATCCCCTCACAGAGATGGGAAAACCAAGGCTCAAAGTGCGTTTGTATTGTGCTTTGCACTTTACCAAGGCCTCTCACCCCAGTTAACTAATTTAAAAGTCAGTCCTCCACGGGGAGAGGGAAGGGTAAGCTGGGACGAAGTGAGAGAGTGGCATGGACATATATACACTACCAAACGTAAAATAGATAGCTAGTGAGAAGCAGCCGCGTAGCACAGGGAGATCAGCTCTGTGCTTTGTGACCACCTAGAGGGGTGGGATAGGGAGGATAGGAGGGAGATGCAAGAGGGAGGAGATATGGGGATATATGTATACGTATAGCTGATGCACTTAGTTATATAGCAGAAACTAACACACCATTGTAAAGCAATTATACTCCAATAAAGATGTTAAAAAAATAAAATAAAAAAATAAAAGTTGGTCCTCGTCACCATTATATATAAAGTAGGAAAGGTCAATACTTTAAAATAAAAAGATGACAGTAATTACGTGTTTGACGTACAGTGAATTGGTCACTGCTAGACTCCCCTATATACACAGTCAGCCTCTGCTGTCAAGGGACAACTAAAACCCAATAATGAAAAAATTCAGGTCTTTAGATAATGATGGAAAAAGGATTACTCTAAGGACAAAAACAATCAGAGAAGTTATTGGCAATCTTTCGACTAAAAAATTGTTATATAATATAGAGAAGAAAAGCTCTTATACACTATTGCTGGTAGTGTAAATTGGTCCTATTTTTATGGAGGAGAATTTTTGAATTTATACCAAAATTAAAATGAACATAACTTTGATGTAGTAATTTACTTTTATGAATGTATCCTCACTATAGACATACTGGCATAAGAGTACATAGATATATGAGGAAAAGGATTTAATGAATATGAGAATGTTCACTGTGGCATTGTTAGTTAGTAACAGAGGACAATTTAAATTAGTCTAAGTGTTCATCAATAGATTGTTGGCTACAGAAATTAGGTGTTATCTGGGTAGTGATATTTTATAGAGACATTTGAGGTATAACATTAATCTATGTATCACCATGAAAAAAATGACCATAATATATTAAGTCAAAAGAAAGATACTTAACAGTATGATTTCCTTTGAGTAAAAATTCTCATGAAAGTATTAGTGATAGCTACCTTGGGAAGGTGAGATAGGCTATCTTTTAACTTTATTCAATTCCATATTACTTGATTTTTTTTTAATGGAAATAGATTATTTTTAAAATAAAAATATTAAAGAGAAGCTATTCAGTTCTGACTACCTGAGAAGCTTTTAACTTCTTAGCCAACAGTAAGTAGACGCCAGGAAATCGTCGGCTCTTGCCCTACTTCACCATAGTGCCTGGTACTGTGCTTGGCTCATTGTTGGTGCTCAATATTCTGAGATTAAATACGTAAGGAAGGCTAAGCCAGGTCACTCTTTAGTAAAGTGAGATGGAAGCATGTAAGAACACTGAGATTTTTAGATCCTACAATCTGAGTCAGTGGGTCAACAGAGAAGAGTTTACAATGACCACAACAATAGAGTTGACTTAAAGAAAGATGGGCTATATAAATATCAACTCACTCTGAAATAATTGGGGGATTCTGCTTGCATTGAATAAGAATCCTTAATGACTCCCCACCATATGTTTCTTTGAGCATCTCTTGGGGCATTCATCTGTGGGTTCAGAGGTCACAGAAGCATAAAGAGGAAGAAATCTCAGTCAGTGCTCAAATGGTCCAGCCAGTTCAGACCCTGAACTCCTCAGCAACAGTCTTACAGTAAGGAGTTCAGCCTGACAGAACACTTCCTGGGACATGTTTTCCACTTACTCCTCGGGAATTCTTTCCTGATGTGTTCTGACTACCAGGAAGTTCATTAGCACACCGAACTTGAATCTGCCTCTTTGTAAAACTGACCCAGCTCTGCCGCCAGTGTCACACACAATGGCTCTAACTGGCTCTGCAGTGGTTTAAGAGAATGGGCCCCCGCAAGACTTGCCTTGAGCCCCAGTTTCCACACGTAGGTGATGAATCACCCTGAGGCAAAGATCAGCAACTCTCTCTAATCCTAAACTTGTTTACAAAATGAAGATGATCATAGTTTCTACCTCATGGGGTTGTTTTAAGAAGATAATGAAATAATACATGCAAATTATCTGTCACGAATGTATGGCACAAAATGCCCAATAAATAATTTCATTACGATTTTTGTAGGCCTTTTCCATTAGGTTTTCGATTAGGAAGCAGGAAGGAAAGTGGCACCAAATGGTAAAGTTAACCTATGAGGCGTCCACCAGTGAACTGCTTCCTGAGGATCTTGATGCCAAGTGACTTGAGCATCTTCTGTGTCTTCCTCACTAGAAACAAATTAGAAAAACACTCCCAGGAAGGGGAGGGACACTTCATACCATTAATTTGGCAACCACAAATAGTCTGTACTTTCACAATTATAGATACTAATTTATAAAAGTAACTTGGGGTGTTTGAGAATCTCACTCACCTCTGGGGGACACAAGGAAAGAGCTCCTTCAGGGCCTTCTCTCAAAACTTGTCTCCCTGCAGCTTCCTAATATTCAAAGAGCTGTCAGAGGAAACACAAGTTTCTCCAGCCATTCTGAAACTTTTCTCAGGGCTAATGACTACCTTTCAGCCTGGATTTGACTTATGTTATCATTCAAGACATAAATTATAAATCCTACATATATTCAGGAATGTGTGCATGAGCATAATGTACGTATATATTTACAATGTAGACCTATATAATATACCATATGAAATGTAGTAGACTAGGAGACTCAAGATCTAGGTCTAAGTTTGACCTCACTGTGTGAGCTCTTAGGATTTCAGTTTACTCATCTATAGAAATGGTTACAATGGATGATTCTGACACTATATTCTAAGGAGTTTTAGGTTTGCATAGCAGTGCTGGGGGCTGTTTTTTTTTTTTTTTTTTTTTTTTTT